GGACGCACGGACGGACGGACGCACACAGGGCAAAACATAAGTCCCCGTTTTCGGACTGCGTCCGAACGGGGACTAAAAATTGCGCAAAAGTGGGGGGTGGACGCTTGCCAGGGCATGGGCGCTAACGCTGTCAAGTACGGTAAAAGTGTTGTTGCAGTCATTCCTTGAAATTGCACCACAGAATGATGAAATACCAGGAAATACACCACATATAACTATAATTCATAGAAATAAACTTACGCTAAAGATGGCCAATGTATAAAAACTTTTGATGTGGGTAGGACATCCACAAAGTTTGCTCCTGTCATAAAGATTGGATGCATAGCATCAACATTGGCAGGATTTGTGATAATAGCAACATCTGTTGTTCCACAAGCACTACCGAAGTTGGAGAATGTGACGTCTGAAAGACAAAAGAGTGCAAGAATATTCTGAAGTTGCAAGAGGTTTGAAACACACGACTTTCACAACAAATATTACAACGATTATAATTATCAAAACATACAACACGACACACACCTGTTATTATTGTCTTGCCACTAATTGCAGGATATCCGTGGAAACCATGGAATCGGAAAAATGGTGCACCTGAAGTGGTTGAGGTGAACGAAGCCCAGGTGAAACCAGATTTGCCACCAGAGGGAGTTCTTGGTGCACGTTGTTTGGAGGATTGTCGTACAGCATCTGAGTTTGACTGGTGATAACAAAATATTACATGCAGATTAAGCATGATTATGGTATAGTAACTCTTATACCAACTGTTCAACAGATGAAAATGTTGTGAATAACATATTGTCAGCCGATAAATAAACAAGCATTGACAATGCACATTTCCCGTTTGGTATTACAGGTAGTCAATCTCAATGCATCACCTCAATGTCAATTTTAATGTGAAGTGAAAATGAATGCTCAGGAAATGTTAGAGATATGGCTCAAGAACTGTATTCATTAGAACAAAATGGCCATTGGTTGGCCATTTTGAATCCTATCTAAAAAAGAAGAGGCATTCATCAAGGTTCTATAATGTCTTATGTATGTAACAAGTTTGAGCGAAATCCGTCCATACATGACTAAGATCTGATTCTAGAATGGTGGGCATGTTTTATATTAAAATGGCCGGCATTAGACCATCTTGATTCAAATTGTCAAATGAACCCATGTGCATATGTGTATATAAATATAAAGTTTGAACATGATTGGTCAGGGCATGTCAAAGAGGTAGCTACTAAATAGCACTTGTTAAACCAAAATAGTCTCTAGTCCCCCATTTTGAATCTGATCAGATAAACAAAATGACATTATTCAAGGTCCCATAATGACCAATATATGTACCGAAGATGGCATTCATCAAGGCATTCATCAAATTTCTTCACTTTGACATTCAGAGCACTGGGCAGAAATCACAACGTACATGACAGGAGGTGTGTTAGGAGAACGAAATCGATTCTTTGCGCTGCCATATTTTTCAAAATAAGCATTGTGTGCTCCCTAGTTGTGCCATCATTCTGTGCGCCTCATTCTGCACCATCAAAAAAATTCATACTGCGCCCCATTCTGGGTTCAAGCTTTTTCAAAATATTTTTTTTTCATATTTGTAAAAACAAATAAATTTCACAATTATGCTTGCGCTAAGGAGCTGTTTTTTTCATGTTTACTCTTAGACTAGTAGTTCAGTAGTCTTTTAAATTGAATGCGTCTCAACAGTTGTATCCGAGTGCTGCATTAAGAAGAACTTGAAACATTACTGGAATACTTTAGGGAAGATGAATAGGGAAATTAATAATGTGACAAACTTTCATGATCAAATATGTGAGGAACTATATTTAATAAGAAATAATATTTTTAAAAAGGAGATTGATACAAACTCTCCAGTAATTAATACTATAGATATAACAAAAGACGATGTTCTAAAAGCAATACAATCGACCAAATCTGGAAAAGCTTGTGGTCCTGATGACATCGTCAATGAATTTATTAGGAATGGTGGCGATACAATAACCCAGACATTAACGTTACTTTTTAAGTCCTTTCTAAGAGAAAGCAAAATTCCTGATGCCTGGAAAGAGGGTGTTGTAAAACCAATCCACAAAAAGGGTGATACAAAAGACCTCAACAACTACAGAGGTATCACTCTAAATTCCTGTGTTTCAAAAATTTACAGTAAGATTA